GGGCATTATATATAAGTGATGAATCACTAAATTCTACACCTGAAACTAACATTACACTATATGTTAACTAACTAGAATTTAAATAAAAACTTGAAACATAAAAAATAAAAAATGAAAGTGTCAAAATCTCAATAAAACCCCCAAAACAAACAAAAACAAAAGTGTCTGTTAAGTATGTAACTTTTCTTCATTAGCACTGCCAACACATTGGCCTAAACCACTATTATATGTCACTAAATCACCACCATAGCCTCCAGTGTTGAGTTCCCCTCCAGCTCTCACCCAGTCTCCACAAAGCAGCCACTACAAAATCTAAATTTATTAAAACCTAAATTGGATTACACCATCCCTTTACTTCAGTAGCATCCAATTATACATTAAATAAAATGCAAACTCCTTACCCTGATCTATAAGTCACAATTTTGTTTCTTGCTCTGGCTTTTACCTGTTTCCAGTCTATGGTCTGAAACTACACTGCAATTCTGAGAGGTCCTTGTTGACAATACTAAGTAGCAATCTGTCCGGAAGCATTATAAGTAAGGCGAAGAGCTGGTAGGTAATGCAAAAGAGATCTCAGACAAATAGGAGGCATGTGTCATTTCTCCCTCCATACTTCCTTTTCTCTGCTTGTTGTCCTGGATATCAGATTACCTGCCAAGCTTTCTTGAAAGCCTATTATTCTCAGGATGTCATTTAGACAATTTGACTCAATAGTTATTGAATGGAAAATAATACTTTCTCTATCTCTCTTTCTTACTCTGTGGGAGGGGGGAGGCAGGTGAGAGGGATATAGAGAGAATCTTCTTTCAGATAATTATTTTCTTTAGAGGAAAATCGCAGTAACACAGGGGGATTTCCAGGAACTAAGGGGCACAAAGATTAGGTAAGGTCAAAAACTACAAGGCAGTGATCTTGGGTTCATCCTAACTCCAAAGACTGTGCTGTGCAGGTGCCATGTCTTTGGAGCATTGTGATCATCCATTTGGAATGGATCCCCTGGTGCCAAACAATGTGGACAAGTTATATAACTACTCTTGGACTCAGTTTCCACATTTATACAATGAAGAGGTTGGATTAATTGCTCATTAAGATATTTGGGAAGTACACTCTGATGGCTTCATGTACTAGGGCAAGTAGCATGCTTCCAAAACCCACAAACATTTGCTTTAGCAGCATTTGATAAATGTGGATTAGTTTTATCTTACTACTAGCAGAATGTCTACGTAGTTTCATCTCTGCATCAACAGTAAGTGACAAATGCTGGTATTATCAATTCGATTTGGGATTTTCAATGAGCACTTATAAGCTGTAACAGCTAATGAGATGCTGTTAAAATATCCTCCTTTGTATTGTGAAACAACTTCGAAAATTTTAACTTGAGAATCTGTAAGTATTTATTTATAGCCTACCTTTTGGCTGAGATTTGAGATGACATTTTTTCTTTCAACAAAACTCTCAAGTGGCATGCCATGATTTATAATTTTATCTGGTTATTGTCTGCATCTGTTGCAGAAAGTTGAAAAATTATTCAAATCCTGCCAATAAGTATTTAGAGTTATTTTTTCTGCTACTGAAATGTCCACTTTCAAAACATTGTGAAGTCTTCATACAGAATTAAGGTTGGGCTTTTTAGAGGAAAAAAAAAGAAAAGGAGAGAATGAGAGAGCAAGTTTTTTCTTTACCCAGAGAAACCAGAAGTAGATTTTAGAGTCTTAAAATACAATAAAAAATCTAGAGTGGCAACAGATTTCTATTTTGCTGCTCGAACTCCCTGGTCTCCTAGGTATTTCATGCTTTTGTTCTGTTTGTCCATAAGAATTAGAAATGCTTTCTCTAAGCATCTTAGAATGGATCAGAACCAGACCACTGATGGAGGGAAAAGTAGTTTTCTCCTCCTTATCTTACTTTATCAGAGTATCTTTTTGCCACTTGACCCAAATTCAGGCTTTGGAGATAGAAATGGCGTGTTTCCTGTAGCATATTTCTATCACCCTAAATGATTCAAGATAGAAGTCACACCCTACATAAAAGGAGCATCCAATAAGGAAGTTTATAGCTGTCCCCAAATTATTCTTTTCATTCAATTTCATTTCTGATTTCAAAATGACGAAGAGTTGCCCATTTAAAAATATCATCTTCAGTACCTTCTACTCTCTTGCCCCCTTCTTTCCTTTGGTTCCCCCCAAATTTTACTTCTGCCTCTAACAGGGATCTTCTCCCTCCCATCTGGCAGAGAATCCTTCCTCTCATTAGACATGATCCACTTCCAGTTCTAACCTCTCATCCTCTGAGAAATAGCACTTTAACACCCCCTGCCCTTGTGGCACTTACTTTATAGATCTCTATTGTCATGTTGCTACTGCCCTTGTTAGAACTGTACATGCTTGTTTTTCCTTCTAGATGGCAGATGTGGTTGGCTTTGACCTTTGTATTTCTCTCAAGATATTTATACCTAAAGATATCCCATAAAATGTCTTGAATTGAATTCACTAGTATGTAATCTTTCTTAATATATAATTAATATTCTCATAAATGTCAATGATAGGGGAAAAACACTAAATAAAATGATGGTTAAATGGGAAAGGGTAGAAACTTCAGGGATTATCAATGTTTGCTTTTCATACTGGGTTGCACAGTTATGTTTCATTGCCCCAAACCTCAATTTCCAATAATAAATAATGTCTTCCCAGAGACAGGAGCTGGGGATGGGGAGGAAGGCAGGGACTGTTCTTGGTAGCCCCAAGATAGACATTATCGTTCTCACTTTTTAAAAGTTTTTATTTTAATTCCAGTTAGTTAACATACAATGTTATATTAATTTCAGGTGTACAATATAGTGATTCACCAATTCCATACATCACCCGGTGCTCATCATAAGTACACTTCTTAATCCTCATCACCTGTTTAACCCATCCCCCCCACCCCTCCTCCTTTCTGTTAGCCATCAGTTTGTTTTCTATAATTAAGAGTCTGTTTTTTGGTTTATCTCTCTCTTTCTGTCTCTTTTATTCCCCTTTTGCTCATTTGTTTTGTTTCTTAAATTCCACATATAAGTCAAATCATATGGTATTTGTCTTTCTCTGACTGACTTATTTCACTTAGCCTTATACTCTCTGTCCCATCCATGTTGTTGCAAATGGCAAGATTTCGTTCTTTTTTATTACCATTCTTTTTTTTTTTTACCATTCTTATTTGTTTTGTTTTGTTTTGTTTTTTTAAAGATTTTATTTATTTATTTGAGAGAGAGAGAATGAGAGAGAGCACATGAGAGGGGGGAGGGTCAGAGGGAGAAGCAGGCTCCCCGCGGAGCAGGGAGCCCGATGCGGGACTCCATCCCAGGACTCCAGGATCATGACCTGAGCCGAAGGCAGTCGCTTAACCAACTGAGCCACCCAGGCGCCCTACCATTCTTATTTGTAAGGGAGGTTAAGTCACTTGCTCAGCCCCTCACAGTCAGTAAGGGCTAGAACCAGAATCTGAACTCAGGGCTATCAGAAGCCAAAAGCCTCGCTCTCCCTTCTCACTTCCTAAACAATGATGCCTTTAAAATATTAATAATGAAAAGAAAAATGTGCAGACGCACCACTGTCAAAGAAAGCCCATCTTTCTTTTATAAGTTTGCTTCCATATTCCAGAGGCCACAAATTCACTGTAAATTTGAAAAGGGTGGGGATTAATTCCTGTCAACTTATTCTTACCATCAGTCCTTTCATGTTGTCAGAAAAACCTTTCTGATGACTCTATAAATTAGCAACCCCATCTCCGTCCACCAAACTCTATCCCCTACAGTGCTATATTTTTCCTCAGAGCATTCATCCCCAGCTGACACATTTGTTTCCTTATTTAGTGCCTATCTTCTGCACATTAGAACCTAAGCGCCATGAAAGTGGGGACTTTTTTCTGGTTTGTTCACTGATGTATCCCCAGCATCAAAGGGTGCCTGAGACACACACATGGTGGACTCCTGGTATATATTTCTTGAAAGGATGAACAAATACAGAAGAGAGGACTCTATAGTTCACCTAACTGATTCAAAATAGTGCTACTGACAGTTCCTCAAGACGGGAAAATCTGGGGTCTTTTTTTTTCTATTTACTTTCCTACAGTCTAAAAGATTTCTACCTCTGCTCGCCATCCTACTTCCCAAACTATCTTCTACAACACCTTTTCTCTTGTTTTTGCCATAGGCGACTTTAATCACAAGTCACCCATATAGATCTAGAGGTGTTAATACTTAACTGCAAAATTTCTTGCACCAAATCTTATCTGTTACCCAGGGGCTCCTCAGTGTCTTAATGATACTACTGCATACAATTCAGCATACACTCTAGAGATTAAAAAAACTTTAATTGCCAAGATTTCTCCCCATTTCTACTCCAATAACTTTATTACTCTAGTCGCTTATTCTGGGAACAATAATTAAGGGCCCTTTATGTTACGTACAGATAGAACAGTGAAAGGAATGGGCACTCCCTCATTGCTTGCAAGGTGGATCAGTCCTAATCCCGTGGACCAGGTCTGCACCTGAAGCCACTTGAACACATACTCAAAGCCAGGGGACTGCAGAAATCTCCATGGAGAACAACATGGAAGTGTTTGTAAAAGACCCATGACACTGAAAGGCAAGCCTGAAGGAAACTAAAAGCATAGGAAATAAAATCTAAAAATTAAGCTTCAGTCTGTTAAAATAAACCTGGTGGGCCTATGCCACATCTTTTCTGGAATTAAGCTAAATGGCCATTTTTATTAAAGTTAATTTTGGAGACTTTTTAATATTTACTGTCAGTTCATCTACTCTAGCCCTCATTGCATTTCAGCAAATGCCACCACCAGCATCTGCCAGATGCTTTAGCCAGAAACTCCAGTGTCTCTGCTTCTCTACATTACTTCCAATCACAAAATCTAACCGTTTTCATTTAAAAAATCTACTTGGCCAATACTCTAGGCAAAACCTAGACTACTGCAATGACCTCTAATTTGATCTTCTCCCATTGTTACAGGTTGAATTGTGTCCCCCCTGAAGATGTTGAAGTTCTAACCCCCAGTACCTGTGAATGTGAAGTTATTTGGAAATAAGGTCTTTGCAGAGGATCCAGTTCAGATGAGTTTATTAGGGCAAGTCTAATCCAATATGACTGATGTCCTTATAAAAAGGGGAGATTTGGACTCAGAAGAAAACACAACAGGGAGAACTCCATGTGAAGATGAAGTCAGAGATCAGGGTGCATCTACAAGCCAAAGGAATGCTATGGGTTGCTAGCAAACCACCGGAAGCTGGGAGAGAGACATGGAATATATCCTCCCTCACAGCCTCAGAAAGAACCCACCCTCCTGACACTTTGACCTCAGATTTCCAGTCTCCAGAATGGGGAGACAATAAATTTGTATTGTTTAAGCAACTCACTCTGCAGTATTTTGTTGTGGACACCTTAGGAAACTAAAACACCTATCTTCTCATTATCTCAAATTCTACTTAAATTTTTAAAAAGTTATACAAGTAATATATTCTCCTTATAAAAACCTCACATTTATTGAAAGCTTTCTTTATGTACCAGACACTAAGTGCTTTAAATGTTATTATATCATTTAGCCCTTATATCAGCCCTATTATCATCTTCATGTTACAGATAAAAACACTGAGGTACAGAGTAATTTGCCTGTGGTCACATGGCTGTTATATGAGCTGGGATTCAAAACCACATGGGGTGGCTCTGGAGGTTGAGTGCTCAAACACCATGGTATAGCCCCTTTGATTACCACGTGGTGCCTTTCCCAAACCCCTGAAAGTAACTGCCATTAGCTTTTGTCTGTAACGTGCTCCATTTACTGTATGTATGTGTACATGCACATGTGTATATGTGTGTCTCTATTAAAAAGTATGCAGCCTTAAACCCTAAAAGAATCACACATATCTTCTTGTAACTTGCTTTTTTTCCACTTAATTTATCTTTTTTTTTTCTTAAGATTTTATTTATTTATTTGACAGAGAGAGACACAGCGAGAGAGGGAACACAAGTAGGGGGAGTGGGAGAGGGAGAGCAGGCTCCCCACTGAGCAGGGAGCCCGATGCGGGACTCGATCCCAGGACCCTGGGATCATGACCTGAGCCGAAGGCAGACCCTTAACGACTGAGCCACCCAGGTGCCCTCCACTTAATTTATCTTAAAAACCCATTTTAGTGAGTGTATATATTCTTTCTGCTTAATAGTCCACTGTATTGTTTTATATCATGAGTATTTATATTTGTGTGCTAAGATGGGGGCAAGGCTTTTGATGTCCTTGGAATGCCTTCCAAGCAGTGGGAGGGGCAGGAAGATATGTCTGTAAGATGGTGGCTTTTGGAAGGGAGGGTAGGGAGAGGGTGCGGGGTGGCCCCAGACCCAGCTTGGGTGGTGCTGATTTCTTCAACATCAGTTTCTACTGAGAATTGACTTTGAGAAAAAGAATGTGGGCCTGGAAACCTCAATATTTGGGATTTATATTCAACTAGGCTTCATTGGTTGAGTCACTTATCTTGTCTAAGCTATATTTATTACTTATATTTAGAAAAGCAGAGGTGATCGTTCTTGTCCTTCACTGTCATAACATTTCTGTGAGGAAAAAATCAAATGAAATAAAATGGCTTCCAGACATAATTGTTTTATGATTATGGTTACCTTCATACTGTTTCCAGATACTAGATATCAGAAATATTGGTTTGTAGAGTCTTTGGAAAAGAAACCACTATTTGGAATAATTTTTATTGCTTTTATGAGATTGTTTTAAGAATTAAATGAAGTGATGTATATGAAAAGAGTTCAGGACTGTGTGTGGAACATGGCAGGCATTATGAAGTTTAAAGTTCCTCTCTTCTCTCTCCCTTTTTTCCCCCATACATTCAGTGCATGAGTGTCCTTACCGCTTAAATTTTTGTTGAAAGTTCTGGATCTACCTTTCCATGATACAAATTCTAAAATACGAATTGGAAAATTTTCAAGCCTTCTAACAGAGACAGCATTAAGTCATTAATTATAAAACACACAGTTTAGTGAATCCTTTATTGATTTTACAAAGAAGATTATTTGGCTGCTTACGTGTGTGTTTGTGTGTGTGTGTGTGTGTACTTTGCTCTCTCTAAACTGTCCAGTTATTTCCACAGGAAGACATACCCGTTATGTTTTGGTCCTTCAGATCTCCTTCATCTCTGATAGTCTGAGCTTCAGTAGGACTGTTTTTCTTTTTACCCACAGAAACATGAATAGGGAGCTTGTACAGGTGCTGCTTTGAGTAATAGAACTCACAATAGACCCAGCCTCTGTTATCTCAAATTGAGAAAAGGATACAGATCGTTCTTTGAATCCAACAAAAAATGAAGGCAAAAGAGTAAAGTTTGAAGAGACACCCATCAAACTACAGTGATAGCCTCCCATAGGCATTTTCTACACCAAGGAGGGAGGTTCTTTAGATTGATTACCAGAGCTTAAGAGAAATGTGTGTTTTTCATTTTCCTGGCTCTGCAGCTGATATCCTTGACATCTTTGTTAGGGTTGCTGTTGCCATTGCATTATTTTTCATATAGCATGCTGTGATCTGTGTAGTGTCACCCCTTTCGGGCCATCTAAGTGGGTCCCACCATAGGGTGAGTGTTCCTCACTGTGATCCCTGATTGTCTGCAGGCCACTCCTGATCTACCACAATATGTTTCTGATGAGTGAGAGTATAATTTCTTCTCTGATGTGCCTTGGTTACCCTTTTAGGGGAGTGAGCTCCCATATGTTCAGCCTCAAAGAAGGTTTAAACATACATTCAGGAGTTCAGGTGGTAATTACAAACCCACGGGGGAGGATAGGAGAGGTATAATTGATCTGGCTACCAAATCCTCTAGTACCTTGCAGTGAAGGAAGATCTTGGGAAGGTGAAGGTTAGAAGCAGGAACTTCAGAAGATGACTATGGGACTATTTTCTTCTTCCCTAAGCCAACTTCCTGCCTCATTTTTCTACAGCCATTTCACTTAATATCCTTCTCCTCTCCTAAGAAATCTGCATTTTTAACCAACACTATAGTAGATTGTAAGGTGTAGACTCTGAGGAGACACATACTTTGAGAAATGCCAGCCTACATAATAAAGCCCAGTTCCTTAGTGTGATGTTGGTGGATTTCCTGGCCTTTCCTCAGTCCCTTTGGCTCCCTTCTTCAGCTTCTCCTTCTGCTCTTCTCCTGTACCCCTTCACCCAACCCAACTCCATGCAATTGTCCTTTGGCCAAAACTGAACTCTTAACATTTTCCAAACACATGGAGTTACATGCAAATTCAGAGCTTTTGCACTGGCTTCAATGGCTTGTTCTCACCTTCAGGGCCACAGAGTTGTACTTTGAGCGAGCCAGTGAGGAGATATCTTGTCAGAAGATGCCCTCACAGTCCCCTTCCTGTCCCCTTGCACGCTCTCTGCCCTCTTCCTCCTCAAGTGGTAAAGCTTCATCTCTGCCTCTGCTCAGTCACTTTTGTACTTTGCTTATACTTTTCTTATTGTCCTTACCATGCTACTTAAAATCCAATTCACCTCCTCCTTAAAGTTTGCCCTGCTCTCCTGAGATAAGCTCTCTCTTTCTTAAATGTCCATTGAATGTCTTCTGAAACTGTCTATGTCACTTGTCACATTCAATCTTAAAATTAATAGCACACACATTTATAGCACTTGCTATGTGTCAGGCCCTATTCTAAGCATTTTATGTAAATTAGCTCACTTAAATCTCACATCTACCTTCAGAAGTATATGCTACTATTACCCCTTATTTCACTGATAAGGAAATGCAACACAGAGAGGATAAGTGACTTACGAAGTCTCCCACTACTAAATGGCTAGGCCATAGTTCAAATCTAGCCAGTCTGGCTTGGGATACCATGTTCTGAACCATTAGTGTGTAATCTGCTCTATCTACCTTATATTTCGTAGTTATTTGTGTAAATATCTTATGACTTTTTTTTCTTCCATCTCTGCATACCTGTGTCTCCTAGTACATGGTAGGCACTCTCCAGATGCTTGAATTATTGAATTACATGGGGATGATTTTTTCAGGAGGCACTTGAATTCTAAATTTTGGGAACCCCTAGGAAAAAACCTCCAATATATCTGATAATGGAATTTCCAGTGGTGGTAAAGGTCAAAGCAAAGATCCCTTTTGGCAGTTAGCATTTTCTTATGATTTTTGTTCTCCTACCTACCTTTCCAAGTAGCTTTCATTTTCATTTGTTTTACTTTATCTTATGATATGTTCACACTTATATTTTAAACGATGGAAAGAAAAAGATCACTTGCAAATGCCAACTGGGAAAGTGTTTATTTTAAACAATGCTGTTCCGGTGCACCAGCTGCCGTTGCTATGCTTGCATATTGGTTGCTAGGGGTAGTGAGGAGAGTTAAGCTTGTGATGTCAAAGTGACAAGTTGCTTCAACTGAACATTCTATTGGCTAGAATTTTTCTGAGATCAGGAACCCTCAATTCCAGGCAATTGGAAAGGTACTTGGTTTTAACTTGCAGAAATAACTTAAACCACAGAAAGAATTAATTATAATCTAGTCATTTTTTAAGTGTGGAAGGAAATCTGGCAGTTTATACAGTTTAGAATTTGGACAAGAGATTTAAAAGTTTACTTCTGGGCGCCTGGGCGGCTCAGTCGTTAGGCGTCTGCCTTCGGCTCAGGTCATGATCCCAGGGTCCTGGGATAGAGCCCCGCATCGGGCTTCCTGCTCTGCGGGAAGCCTGCTTCTCCCTCTCCCACTCCCCCTGCTTGTGTTCCTGCTCTCGCTATGTCTCTCTCTGTTAAATAAATAAAATCTTAAAAAAAAAAATTAAAAAAATAAATAAATAAAAATAAAAGTTTACTTCTCCCCAAAGGATGATGCAAATCATTACAGAAGACTAATAGTATTGTAAAATTAAAAAAGCAAAAGATACCTTTAATATCAGAACGCGTTGTCTGTCCAAAAAAGGATTTGTTTAAACATATTCGTTGTCATATAAACACAGGAAAAGAGACCTCACCATTTTAGAAATTGTCCCACTGTGAATGCAGATTTTTAGATTTATGTTTAACACAGGAAATATTTGTGTGTGCTCATCATCATTTTGCTTGTATTTTACATACAAACTCATTCAATAAGAAATCCTTAAGCACCTACTACATGTAAAACATCACCTTAGGCATCAAGGCAGAGTGACCAACCATCCCAATTTACCTGGGATTTTTTCCCAGTTTTAGCACTGAAAATCTCAAGTCTTGGGAAACCCCAAGTCCTGGGCAAACACAGAAATTTGATCACCGTTCAAGGAGGAAACAAAACAAGACTAAAATAGTTTCGAAAAACTTTCTTGTGGCTAGGAAAACAAGCTGAACAGCCAAATAGTCAAGGAACACAAGTAGTAAAAGCTTACATTTATTGAGTGCTTATAAGGTAAATTCTATCATTATCCCCATTTTAAAGATCAATAAACTGAGACACAGCAAGGGTAAATAACCTAGTTAGTGGAGGAGCCAAAATTTAAACCCAGGATGTTTGGCTTTAGAGCACATACTGTCATTAAGTCCCTGTATGGAAAAGTTCTCCAAGGGGAGGGATTGATAGAGGCAGGAACACTGGGGAAAGCATCACCAGAGGAGTGGATGACTACACCTTGACTCTAAAAAGTGAGCAGGATTAAGAGAGTTAGGAAGAAGAGAGGAAAACATCATTAAAAAAAAAAAGGAAATCACACAAGCCATGGTCTGGAGTGAAGAACAGGCCAAGCATTCTCTCTCCAGAGACATGAAGGAGTTAGCCTGGGAAAGAGGGTGGAGCCGTTGTCTGATACTGCAGACAATTAAATGCAAAGGCAGAGAGAGAGGAAGACGGAAAGAAAGTGATTTTCC